TTTAAATGTATAAGATCACAATTTCTTAACTATTTTTTATGATCTTTAATTTCAGTCACCCATATTAATCATAATATTATTGCTTAGCTGTAAGGCAGTATTTAGATGGTAATTTTCTTATACGTTTGTGCCATGTAGGTGTAATTTTATTGCACGTTAAGTATTTATAAATACAGACTGTCTGGAAGTGTTCGCTTAGATTTTTATGTTGTATGTTGATAGAACCCGATAATACAGTCAGTTCGCTGTTGATAATAATGATAACTAACAAAATATAGTCAGGACGAATAGAGTTCCTTGCCCCTGCTGTTTCGAATGGACTTGTGGTGGGTAGAAGTCCCTCATGACGAAATTTCTGATAAATGAATAGTGAACGTTGGCGATGTTCTCGGAGGAAAGCCTACCCCATTGCCAATATGTCCGTAACAAACAACATATGCACTACCCTAGCATTGAACCGGAGCATCTTTAGTGAGAAGCCGTCTTAAGTTAAGGCATGGTAAAACCGGTAAGCGACATTGACCTCTGAAAGCGAAATCACTTCTAAATTATATTTGAGAATTCAGTCCGTACCGCAAAGAAAACACAAAATTTTACCATTGCAAAGATCAACTTGTTAACGCTTTTTAAAGAAATAATAGCTGTTTACATTGAGAATCATACGAAACACTTAATATAAAATGCATAGTTACTGACTTTTAAGGCTTGGACGTATAATTACTATTTATTTTTAAAGGGTTAAAATTTCGATTAGCAAGTGATAATATTGAAGAATTTGTCGGATATTGGAATTGTTAAAACTGGTATAAAGTGTTATAAATACGAGAACTTCGTTTCGAAGGCAGAGGAAAGCAATAGACCATGAGGATAAATGTATTCAGCTTCAGGAATCGTGCAATGGACCACTTTTATATTTAGCGACTGCACAACGTGCGGGTTACAACGCCGTCAGTTTACTTCGCCTGAAGCCATAAAAAATTCTTCGTTCATGTAGCTTCCACACCAGTCGGGTCTCAAACTTGTTCCGCTTTGTGAGATAGCCTCAGGGGTAATTTCGTGATAAGGATAAACTACTGAGGGGATTTTTTCAGGTCTGAAACTAAAGGGACATCGACGTATTCGATTTAGTAATTAGATCTATATTCCAGTAATCCAAAAAAGTGCTCCCTATAGATATTAATGCATCTAGAAAGAGCTTATGTGCATATATCAAATATCTATGATTTATTAAAACCAGAATAGTCTATTTTAAAGCGTTGACAGGGAAGACACCACATGGAAGACCTAAACATAGATAAAGGATGACATTAAGATAGAAAGTAAAGAAATTTAATGTGTGATAGTGCGGATTGGATTAATGTGGCTCAGAACAGAGTTCAGTGCCTGGATGTTGTGAACACGATAATAAATATTACTGCGTTCTAGGATATTGCATTGTCTGTTCTTGTGCGCAACACCCCAGAAGATTTATCCTGAAGACCCTAATATCTCATCACGCTAGTGAGGTTCCTGGTTGCATGAAAGGCAGAAATATTCCTTGAATGTCTTCTTAAGGACTCTAATCTATTTAGTTGAGTTAATAACAGTAGCTTATTTTTTTATTCTTTGATTTAACATCAAATAAGGTCTAGCGGTTAGAACGCTGGCCTTGTAATCCTGGG